GTGACCCAGGTAACCATTGCTTTTCTACACTTTTCCAACCCTGTGTGGCAACTCGCTCGTTACATCAAATTGGTTTAGGAATGAGACCATATGGCCAGCTCTGCTCACTGTGGGGAATTCACACATTAAGGGAACTGTGCATTTTCTAGCAGTGAGAAAGGACCAAATCTGAAAGAACAGTCCAGCCCTTAGGACTTGATAGCCATATCTGTAGAATGGCACCAAAACCTACCATATGGGTTTGCTGTATAGCTTTAGGGTAATTTGTGTGATCAGTGCAGAATTTCATATTCTTGTTCATTTTCCTACAGAAATCTCTCTTACTTCAGAGTCTTGAAATCAGAGAGGATTTCAGATCAGGCTGCCACATGTATATCGACATATCCTGGGTAGCTGTCAGCATCTGAAACATTTCAAGATCAAATAGGGCTATTTTATAATCTTAGCTGACCTTTTTAGAAGCCTGGAGCCTTTGTGGCTCAGAAATATTACCGCTTATACCTGTGGAAAGGATGTTGTGTGAGAGAGCTCACTCTGCGCTTTGCTCTGGGAGAAATCCTCAGCCGGCTTATGGGCTCGGAAACCCAGGAGTATGTGCTAACATCACTGCTCCCACCAGCTAAGAAGTTGCCTCTTGGCCTCTCTAATGAATTGAATCACTCTCTCTTTGCTTTTTCATTAACTGATGTATCATAATCTTACAGCTGTCTTCTCTCGATCTAAATTGCACACTAACACTGTACATTATTGATTAAATGAGTCTACAAATGTCTTTTTAATACTGTATGGGTTGATCAGTCTTCTCAGTTAATGTGTAGCACCTCCAGTGGGCTTTAAAACCTACTGAAGCAGCTTTTAACCAGATCTTACTGGGAAAGAAAGAACTGCACGAGAGTCTGTGCTCACACGCACGTTGAGGTATGTGTTTTGGCAGTGGGGAATTAGTAACGATTTCACTTACTACGCTAAAAAGCTCCCTGTGTTCACAGATTTGGATTTTGATAATCACAACTGCTGATCTTACTCTTTGCAACTAAAACAATTCACAGGAGATGGTTGTTATGTACTCCAGTGGCAAGGCTGCACTGTAACAGTTGAGCTAGTTTAACAGCTAATTTGGCTTTTTGTGTGACTTGTTTTGGAGGACAGGTTTCAAAGTTTTTCTTAATTTTTTTTCTTTTTTGGCTTTTAAGAAATTTTATATACACAGGACTGTAATAACTACACTGCCCAACTTTGACACTTGATAGTAAAAATAATAGCATTCTGTCTTTTTCAAGTGAGTCTTTGCATTACATAAATTACTTTCAGGAATTACTCTAGTGTCTATTATAACTAGTTTGTTTATTATTGTAATTTTCCTTTTGCTTTCACTTCTTAAATTTAAATTCCTCTCTATTGCCCTTCATGATCCAATCTACATGCAAGTATTGTTCCTTTTATAATGCAGTAGAAAAACATGTTTGTGTTTTTGGGTAGGTGTCATTTATATCTGGTTTCATAGTATTAGAGAAAATTGGGCTGAAAGAGCCTGGATAGATCACCTAAAATCTACCCCATTCTATTTTAAACAGGGAGACAAAAATGAGGTTTTATATGCACATATTTCCTGAAATACAAACTTTACCTTTTTTTTTTGTGCAAATGTTTTGCACAAAAAAAGGCACTGAACCAATAAAAACAGAGCTCTAGTCAAAAGGAACAGGTCTTGTGAGGGCATTTGTGCTCTCTGGGTGCACTTCTCACGAGGGGCTTTGCTGCAGGTGCATAGCCAAAATCAACCCAAAGCATTTTCCCTCCTTTGTCATTATTCAGATGGACATCTGCAAATGTCCACCAAATAAACTCCAAATCACCAAATAAACTCCAAACCTCTGTGCAAATTGGGTTGGTATGGGTACATTTAGTTCATACAAAGCTTTGAAAGGCAAATAAATGGTTTTAATTCTTAGCTGGTAACAGGGCTGAGAAATGCCACCTGCCCAGTGACTCTTGGAGTCACTGACCATGGAGAAATGAACAGTAAGAAAAAGAAGCCTCAAGACAGGGCATCAGACCTGAATTAAATGAGAAGGTAGCAGCTAGACTGGAGAGACTGGGGAAGGCACAGCAGCAGGAATAATATTGAGAATGTGGTTGGTTGCTGCTCCTGCTCCTGGGTGATGGACATCTCCAGAATCCATGTAAGTTTTAAAAGATGGAAAATTTTACTTATACCTCAGTAAAGCAGCTTCTCCCAGGGAATCAAACATTTAGCTCCTTGTCAGATCCTTTGAGCCATACATTAGCAATGAAAAAGTGATATTGCCACTATCGTCCCTGATGATTCAGCAAGGAGCAAAACATGATAGCCTTTCTAACAAGGCTGTTATTCAGATATATCACTCAGCTTCCACACTCCAACTGCTCACTGGTTCAGAGTGTTAATGCTCTGCATATTGTGCTTAATAGAATTTTAAATTATTTTGATTAAAGTGTCAAGGGATGAGGATTTAAGATTGATCAAAACTACTTGCTTGTGCTGTGGCAGTTGTTAACCAGCCACTTTCCAGAACAGGCTTAAGTGATGTAACATTCAGACACGAGAAATACAAGGAAATGCTTCTCCTAAGTTCATACTGGGGGACTAAGAGGGAAAGGAATATACTAAGAGAACATACATTTCACAAACAGTGAATGACTTGGGGTCCCAGTCTTTCTTTAAAGGAAGTTGATGGCGCCTTTACCATTGCCTTCTGTTCAACGGCAATTCAACCATGGATGTGCAATAATGAAAATCCAGTACAGAAAGGTTTCACTATTTTGAGCAGACATTGCAAGCATTAAAATATGATTAGATAATGGAGAAAATAAACAATGGAGGTTTGTCTGACTATGAAGTCAAGTATCTGGAAGTAGAGTCAGTCAGAAGTAAGCTCTTGCTTTGAAACTCACCTACTTGGTAGGGGCAGGGCTCTTAAGCTCTTGCTTTGAAACTCACCTACTTGGTAGGGGCAGGGCTCTTAAGTGATGGTTGTTTAATTATGGCGACAAAGAAAGAGTAAGATGTTCCCATCATATATTGCTTTCAGCTAAAAAGAAGTATTTTGACATGTGTAACTTTTAATATACAAATAAATGCACTGAAGTTAATGTAAGGAGAACATTCACGATTCTTGCATGTGTATGTGTGCCTCAGTCATCCTCTGAGTGGAATCTTAGAGTACATGGTGCCAAAATCATTGTCTTAGATAGCTAGTTTGTTAATATTTTGACATGAATCAGAGTACAGTGGCCTGGACTGCACTAGTAATGCCATGAAACATAATCTATTCCAGTCCTCTTCAAGGTGATGCAGTGCTCTTCTCTACTTTGCTTCTAAAATAAAGAATAACACTTCATACAGCTCTTGCTATGGCATTTAATTAAAATATAATTGCTTACAATCTCAATGGAATTTGCATCCAGATCTGTAAATGACCATATGGCACTTTATGATAGAATATCCTGGGCCAGACTGGTTGGTACGATCTAGCTGCCCATGTTCCTTTAACAATGCAAAGCAGTCATAAACTCACCTTAAGTGTCTGCTTACGTCAGGTTTACAGCCACTCTGAGTGACTGCACCGCTGAAGCCACCTCTTGCACTACATAGCAGGTTGTTTAAAATGCATTGTTGAAATGACAAGTTTGATGGGAAATAGCATGGTCTTCCACTTGGTGTAACCTAAAGAGTAATAATAATTACTGCTGCTGACTAGAATTATTGCGATAGAAGCAAATGTTTTGATTGTTGGTCTGTTCAGCAGTTAAGCGTGAGCTACAATAACAGTCAAAAACCATTTACCTGAAATGGCTTAGTGGTGGAGTTGGTGGTGCTAGGTTAAAGGTTGGACTTGACCTTAAAGGTCTTTTCCAACCTAAATAATTCTATGACGCTATGATTCTGTGAAAATTGGACTATTTATTGTTCACTAAGTAAATCTTAGATTAAAATCAGGAAAATAGGTGATGCTTTAAAAAATTTTTAATAGATTAAACTAAAGAATATAGAAGATCCAGAAGCTGAAAATGAAAATGTATGATAGAAGTCCACCTTAATGGTTCTTGATTTGTGTGAGTTGACAGTTACATCTGTGGTCTGTTGTACAACACAAAGAGAGCAGGAAAAGAGCATTTTAAGTACAGCTGTGTTTTTCTATAGTCACTTTCATAATAGTTCCTCAAAGTATGCTTTCAGAGAAACAACAAATATGAATATTTCATATCAATCCACAAAAAAATGTACCTATCTATTGTTGCATAATACAAAATCTCTGCTTATGCACACTCCTCTAGCCATTGAACAGTCTGGTGGTCTGAAGGCATTTGATGTATTAATTTCATTCTGTTTGCAGTGGGGACATCCAGAACTGCAGCCATTTAGCAGACAAATGAATATACAGAAGCATTAAAACATATTAAATACTCACGTATGTGTTTAACTGCAAGTATATGACTAATCTTTTTGAATCCAGAGGCAGCAAGGCATACATCTTTAGCAGGTACTTAAGAATTTTGTTAAATGGAGATCATACGGCATTAGCTCCTTTACTGGAGTATTATATGGTGAAATTGTCACAGGGATTATGATGCAGGAAGCAGGAGAGCAGTGCTGCAGTCACACTGCCTGCCTTGTGCACTCTCACTGCATTCACCATGTAGCAGTGTGTCCTCCATGAACTGTTTGGACCACCTACAGGCACCTGTAGGATAGACCTTAGATGAAATATATGATGACACCTGTGAGTTGTCAAAGTTGACCTTACACCGGGAATGAGAAAATCTTGACTAAATGGAAATTAGGGAGAAAAAAAAGGAATTTAGAGCTGGGGGGACACTGCAGGTAGAAGCAGCACTGAAGTTTTTGTGCTGTATTTCACGGTATGGAGCAACTTCCATCCCTGTACGCAAGTCAGAGTGCAGCCTGCACCAGATCAGGGCTAAGTTGGCACTGTTGCTACTGCCAGATCGATACATACCTGGTGGCTGCTGCTATTGAATGGACTCAAGTGCCTTGTAAAACAGGGCAGATACCGGATTGAATCAATGAAGGTGTTGCCCGTCGTTCATGGACCTTGGATCCTGGCATAACCAGGGAGCTAATGCTGCAAAGGTAGAGCAAAGTTAGTTTTCTAGAGAAAAGTTACATCATAATTTACAAAGTAACCTTTACATGGTGAGGAAAAGGATTTTTCACAGTGACAAAAGGCAAGAACCTGGATCTCATTCTGAAACTTTCCATTTTTTATACCTCTGTCTGCATTTAAATTAAATAGAGGGACACATCTGCAGCCAACAAAATTATGTAAAAGCTACCCATATAAAGACAGAGATTTCATTGAAATATAAACCATATATTACCTCAAAGGAACAGTTGTCCAGAGTTAATTTCCAGGTTAATAGGCTGTTACTGCCATTTTCAAATAAAGCAATTAAAAGTAATATTCTTGTACTGATAAGGATGATCATACTGCATTGAATTGTCAGCTTATTTTGTTCAGTGTTCTCTGTCAAAGAGCTTCTAGTACAAATTACTTTAGGCCAGGGTGGAAGAAGTCTGCCTAGAAAAAAAAAAAAAAGACTTATTTGAAGCAAAAGGTAGATTTTTTTAAATTAAATTTTGAAGTAATGAACTCTACTTCTTAACTTGTGAGGTGTGTGAAAAGTGTTCCTATCTAAATATACTTTTAACAGTTTTTCTGAACTGAAAAGCAGAGGTGAAATGAGGTGTTAATCATACATAGACATGTTTTCTTGTACATGTTGAATGCTCTCCATGGTGCAAGCGTAATATATTAAGCTTTTTGTGGAAACTCACAGAATATTCCCAGTTCTTTACTGCAAGAAGATCTGTACTATATACGCAAAAATCTGATTGAGGAGAAACAATGTGATTTGTCACGGGGAATTATCATAACATGTGAGCTAGAAAACTTGATTTTCCCTTTGTAAAATAGCATGACTGTAACATATGTCCTGCTCCAATTAGACACTGTCTTTTTTGGGTTATCACCATGTCAGCCTGCACTTGTGAAAGCAACTTTGACAAATCTGAGGCAAATTTAAAAGCAAAGGAGATATTAGCCTTAGAATTTAGCAGGTGACATTAATTTGGCAGAGAGGATATTTTTTGTCTGTTTGAAGAAGAGAAAGCACTAAGCAAATCCCTCTTATTCATGCTACTTTGATGGATAAATGCCTATGCATTTTACAACAGCAAAACAACTGTACTCAACTACTTTGAGGGACTTACTAGAATAGAGCAATGCAAAGTTTCTTACTTGACATTGTTTTTGTCTGATGAAATCTCCAAACTAGCTATTTTTCTAGGGTGACTGATCTAGCAGAAGAGCTTGTAATTGTCAGTGTCCTGGAAGAGTTTTACTGAACAGGGTGAGTTGATTTCACCTGCATTTGGTCATCAGTCATGGGCCACACAGGGAATCCTGACCTGGGAATGTACCTCATAATGATGAGATCCTGATGTTTCTGTGTCTTTATGGATCTACAACACAGATTTGCAGTAGAGCAAGAGGGAGTCAGTTCCTGACATTCCTGTTCACAGGCCTCCAGACAGTCTTTGGATTTATGGGACTCATTGCTTCAACATCCCCTATGTCAGTAAACCTTTTCATCCCTGAGAAAACACCTGCGGCTTTTGTTTAATCCTTAAGACCTGTGAAAGTTTTGACATGTGCCTAAATAATGCTTTACTTTGAAAGGTATAAAAAATGATCTTGCAGTACAGCCTTCCCAGTCACTGGCATGTATTCACCAAGTGAGGCAACATAAATAAAAAAAGTGGCAAAGGTCTCTGTTGATTTCAGTCATTCTGGGATATGAAATTCTTGATAAAATTAATCCTCTGGGATCTGATTCAAAGTCTCAGATGCAAAATGCACCTGTCTTTAGAGAGTTCAGGGTCCAGGCCATACCAAACAAACTTAATTGTAAAGCCAGACAAAGCACTGCTGATTTAAAGCACATGCTTCCTTGCTCAGTGGTACTGGGGAGGGACATAAGGGAGTGGACTTCCCAATTCCAGTGAAGTTGCTTTCGAAGTGCACAGGGTACTTTGGGGTTGTGCTTCACACAAGTAGTGGCATTCCTTCATCCCCAAAGGCCAGCTCAAGACCTGTGTTCTTCTCAGCTCTCACATCAAACTTGTTTTGACGGTGTAAATTGTGGGTTTGTCTTCAGACAGGTTTTTGCCGGAGGGACGTGATGGTGCTGAGAAGGATGTAAACTGTCCTCTGCTGCACACAAAGCCTCAAGAGCACATGAGAAGCACAAAGTAGTACTTCTTGCTGTCAGCAAGTGACACTTTGCCTTTCAGACTGAAGTTTTTAATTAAAATGGGCATTTCTGGCAACCACAGGACTGCTGAAATGTGACGTCATTTATGACTCCAGCATTAAGGAGTTCACTGTCCATGATCGTAAAACAGATTCCAGTCTTGATTTGATATTGATTTAACAGTCAGCATAAGTTTGCCCTTTAATATGTCAGACCAAAGCATTAAGAGTATTCTTCTTTTGGGTTTCTCCATGGATATTACCTCCACTTCTTCCAAGCAGTGATGTCTGGCATCAGATCTCTGTCCTGCAGCACCACTTCTCTGGAGCAGCACTTTCTGCTATCCTGCACTGCCTCGTACAGTGTAATCTCCTCACTAGTCTTTTGCACCTAACACAGACTAATGCCATTTCTGCTAGAAATCTTCTGTTACAGTAATTGCCAAAAATTGGCAAATCCAAGCTGTATTTCTTTCTGCAGATGCTGCTAATTTCTAGTGCTGTGCTCAACCCTTCCTCTCCAGCTATCCCTGTTCTAATGGCTTTAGTCTACTCTTGCAAGTCTCATTTATTTTCTTGCTTCTTTTTGACACGGGTGATACAACACATTACCTCTGATTTGTCTGCCTCCTCTCCCCATGTTTCTGATATTCATTAAGAAGATGTTCACTTTTCCAACTCTGTTTTGCCCCTCAGTGAGCTACACTCAGAGACTCACATCAATGTCTCTTTTAATGGAAGTTTCTTATTCCCATACCTGAATTTAATCTCTCATATACTTCTTCCTGGATTTAACTGTAATTCTCCTACCATCTTTTGTTTCTTTGTTTAAAAAAGAGAAAAAAACCATGCAATATCTTTTGGGTTCTGAGAGATCAGGAGGGACCTGGTCTTTTCAGAAAAGCAGTCAATCCCATCAGAACTCCAGAATTACACTTTAGACAGCTCTCCTGACATCAAGTGAGGTCAGTTTTGATAACTTACTGCCATTGTGAGCTGAAATGTCCTGATAGCAGTATGTAAATTTTTTCTCTCAATACCACCTCCAAGCCTAAATCCTTACTTAGCATTAGGGGCAACACTGTGATTTAACACAGAGCTTGAGTATCTCCTCTCTATACTTTTCTCTGAGAGGCTGTTTTGGTAGAGCTGAGGAGGAAAGGATCATTTCTTTTAATTGTAAGTATGTGACAGTTGGGAAAATTTGTATTCATACTGTATTGTGCAGCTGTTGGGATGGGGAGACTCCTGGGATATGTGATACACTTTGAATGTTTTTTAATTTTAGTCTTTCATTAAATATTGAGGCTGCTGAAAATACAAGGTAATAATATGGTACACCTATAATATAAATGGAAGTAAACAGATGCACTAGCAATATGCTTATCTACTTAAACATATCTTGCCCTTGTATATATACATCCTTGCTACCATTTCCTTTTGTTTGCCGCAGGAAACTAGGATTAATTTGATCAGACATTTTAAATCCAGGCTTGGTCAATAATGCTGGCTTTCTGAACACAAGAAGTAGTTGTCTCTGTGTCACCATGCAGAAGCTTATGGATGAGAAATGTGTAAACTCCACTTTGGTCCTCTGCTTATTCTCCTTATGAAGCCAAAGGTGGAAGCAGCTGTTTTGTGATATTTTCCTGCCATATATGTAACATATCTTGGAAGTGAAGTTGACTTCAAATAAAAGCTTTGTGAAAATTGGTTGCTTTTTACTGGTCATGGTGGAAAACATGGAAGTGGCAAAGAAACAGTACAATCAGAGACAGACAGGAACTGTTAGTTTGCAAAATTATTTCTACATTAATTCCCCCTGCTGTTAATACTACAGAAAAATCCCTGCTGGTAGTCGCAGTACAGGGGTTTCAACTACAGCAGTCAAGAAAGGCAAATTTCACTCACAAATTTCCACCCAGACAAGGTTTAAATATAGTTAGATGAATCAGGCTTCTGTTTTTAGATCTTGGTGCCCTGAAGTAATACCTAACCCCCACTCCCTGCAAGCAAACAGGGCATCATTTGATTCTTCCACATCAACTACATATTCTCCAACTGGTGAATAAGTTTAATTTTGTCCTATGATTACCCAAAGTAATCTGCCCAAAAGCACCGATATTTCCATCGTCTTAGATGATGACAGCCCATGATTTACATGTAGCAATGTGGTTCTGAGGGATCTTGCAACCAGCTGAAAATAAAGGTTTAGTGATTGAATTATATATTCTCTCTCTGTGATAGAAAATAAGACAACTGACTTGGCTATCAGACAGATTACATAAGCCCAAGTTAAGTGGTAGAATAAAAATGAGTGATATTCCTTCTAGACTTAAATGCAGCACTAAGTAATATGCCCTTGAATTCAGCATAAAGCAATTTCCTCCTCTTTGGTAACAACTAGGGGGCATTCCGAATGCAAATAGAGTCAGCTTTGCATTTTTAATATTTCTTATATACATAATTCACTGCCGCAGTTTAGAAACGTTATTGCTACCTCTTCTGTACATTTAAATTATTTTGCACCTCTGAACTTTCATATTAACTTTAATGTCAGCTCTTAAAGTGTATTTAGTACAGGCGAGTTTGTGCTCATGGCTCTTGAAATTCACAGATTGAACAAATATGCATCCAGGCACAAATGTAGTGTACAGTTTAACCTGTGTCATTTCACTGGGATGTGGGAGGTTTCATTGACTGCACACATAGTTATACCAGAGCCCTGAAAATCAGTAGGTAACAAATGGGAGCAAACCAAGAGCAATTGGTGTTATATCACATTTAT